AGTAGATGATGTAGATGAATTTTCCCACATTGATATGAGCATGCCTTATGTTTGCAATTCATTTCAGATAGCATTGCCTCCCATGAGGTCTTCTCATCCTATCAAGAGAGTACTGCAGTTTCAACCTCGCCTGAGCTGGACTCATCATTACTCCGGCGGGGCTCGAACCTGTATAGGGCAGCTTATAATCTCGACTTAGTAAGCACTGCGCCTGACTGCCAAGAGTGACCTTGAGTTGCGGGGCAGAAGTGAATTTCAATGAAGCCTAAGTCTTTTCCAAATCGCATTGCTGTAGGGGGAATGTTGACGAAGCAATGCTCCATTTGGTACGACAATTGAGCACAATCCTTATTTTCAGTTGATAATTAGGTTTTCGAGACCATCAGAAGATCCTATGTAAAAGCTATATTCACCCTATCTCTCTTACGATGATAAAGCGACTGCTGGTTGAATTTTCCCACAATAATGTGAATAGATCACATGATTCAGTTAAATTTCACCCAGCCTTTCTTCTCAAAAACGTATTCTCATCCCGACTGAAGCTGACTGCAGGTTCGACCTCCCCTAAATCTCAATTCCTCATCACATTAAACGGCGTAGAGTGAATGAAGTTCTTATAAACATTTTTTGGCTCAACCCACCACTTTTCACATGCCACCACAACCCCTGCCTGTGAATGAGTAGAATCAACTCTACCTGTTTAATACGGCTTATAATCTCGACATAGTAAGCAATGTGCCTGACTGCCAAGAGTGACCTTCAGTTGCGAGATAATCAGAAGATCATATGTAAAAGCTATATTCACCCTATCACTCTTACGGTGATAAAGCGACTGCTAGTTGAATTTTCCCACAATCATGTGAATACATCATATGATTCAGTTAAATTTCACCCAAAAGGTATTATCATTCCGACTGAAGTTGCCTGCAGGTTCGACCTCCCCCAAATCTCAATTCCTCATCACCTTGAACGGCACAGAGTAAATGCAGTTCGTATAAACATTTTTCGGCTCAACCCACCACTTTTCACATGCCATCACAGCCACTGCCTGTGAATGCATAGAATCAAACTCTACCTATTTGGTACAGACTCTGGTCATTCGTCTGTTTAGCTCATTGCTCATTGCTGCCAGGAGGGGATGCACTGCTCGAGATCGCTGGGCCGTTGTCAAAAGGACGGATCTCGCCGCCACGTTGACTTCACAGAAATTTGTTGATCCCTCCTCTTTCAGGTTCAATCGTAGGCCTGAACCAGCTGCTTGTTGCACTCGTAGGGCAAGCCAGATGCGAGGCGATGATGAACGGGTTTCGAGGTAGCAGCATCACGGCCTCGACCACACGACACATGTCGCGTTGCGTCGGCTGCAGACCTTTCAGACAATGCAAGGCATCCGCTCGGATCATGGGTTCGGCCCCCCTTTCTGCGACCCCCCCAGCAGCCGGTAGGTAGGCTTTTTCACTCGCGCAGAGCCTCACGACAAGTGACTACCTTGGAAGACGTTCACCAGAGCTTGACAACCCAGAAACAGCCAGCCGGATGCGAGACTGGTGGACACATTCACTCCGCCCCTGGACGGTGAGTGCGACCGGCTGCATTTGGGATCCCCTCGTGTGACGACCTCATGTCGACTACGACGGCCATCTTTTATTGTTATACTTACCGTCATTTAGAGTGAAAGTGTCTGGTGAAGAGATTCCAAGGTCGATTCCAGCAGAAGAAGACGGCGGATTCCTCTTGTAAGCTTAGTTCGTTTTCACCGGAATCGAAGGAGATTGCCTCGGAAACAGCGTCAGCATGAATGTTGCAGCAAAGCCAATCGACAGCTGGTCAAGAGTAATCCGCCGTCCTCTTCTGGTGGAATCGAGCTTAGAATCTGTTCACCAAACACTTTCACTCGAAATGGAAGTAAGCACAACAATTATCAAAGAAGAGAGTCCTCGAAACCCAACTTTTCTTCACACAGACACACACCACGAGGCGGCCAGCAATTCTGGCTTTGGGCGGATGCGAATACGACTGATCTCACCCACTTATACCACATTTCATCCTTCCCTTGCTACAAGTTGACGACTGGCCAGCTAAAGGATGCTATCTCCCTCTCCCTTCCTCATCCCTCTCTAACTTTTGCCTTCTCTTCCTCCCTTCGACTTATTCTCTCTTCTTTCTCTCCATCCCTCTACTTTTCTCTATTACTTCCTTCCCCTCTCTCTTTATATGCCTTTCTATCCTGCTTTATAATTCTTTATTTATTTATCCTCTCTCCCTTCCTCA